AATACAGTATTGGACAAAGCGTTGGTTCCAACCTGTCGTCGGTTCTGCAACAGCTACAGTCCAAATAACACGACCTGCTCCAGCTCCTGCACCGCGTCCTCTACCGGCACCACGCCCTGCCCCTGCTTCTTTCTTAGCACAGCAGACGCAAGAAGCGGCTTCTCTAAGCAGCGCATCATCCGCCGCATCCACTGCTACGACGTCCCAGGCGCTTCAAACGTCCAGCGCATCACAGTTTACAGCAGCCACTTCCCAAACGTCTTCAGCAGTTTCCGTGAGTAATGAAGCCTTGCAGAGTGCAATCATTCCGAACATAGCATCTTCGAGCGCACTAAATGCAATAAGTACAGGACAAATTTCTGTGCAAAATCTCATTTCAGTAGCGTCCCAAATCCTTACAAATTCCTTCGGTATTTCTCAAAGTTCGGCACAAAGCATTCTCAGCCAGACTTTGTCTAATCATGGAAGAGGTTCATCGACTGGAGCACTTGCTGCAGCACTTGCATCAGCTTTCTCACAGCTTCTTGTACAATCAGGAGCCGTAACAGCTGGTCAGGAATACGTATTGGACAAAGCGTTGGTTCCAACCTGTCGTCGGTTCTGCAACAGCTTACAATCCCCAAATAACACGACCTGCTCCAGCTCCTGCACCGCGTCCTCTACCGGCACCACGCCTGTCCCTGCTTCTTCATAGCACAGCAGACGCAACAAGCGGCTTCTCTAAGCAGCGCATCATCTGCTGCATCCACTGCTACGACGTCCCAGGCGCTTCAAACGTCCCAGCGCATCACAGTTTACAGCAGCCACTTCCCAAACGTCTTCAGCAGTTTTCCGTGAGTAATGAAGCCTTGCAGAGTGCAATCATTTCGAACATAGCGTCTTCGAGCGCACTAAATGCAATAAGTACAGGACAACTTTCTGTGCAAAATCTCATTTCAGTAGCGTCCCAAATCCTTACAAATTCCTTCGGTATTTCTCAAAGTTCGGCACAAAGCATTCTCAGCCAGACTTTGTCTAATCATGGAAGAGGATCATCGACTGGAACACTCGCTGCAGCACTTGCATCAGCTTTCTCACAGCTTCTTGTACAATCAGGAGCCGTAACAGCTGGTCAGGAATACAGTATTGGACAAAGCGTTGGTTCCAACCTGTCGTCGGTTCTGCAACAGCTACAGTCCCAAAATACACGACCTGCTCCAGCTCCTGCACCGCGTCCTCTACCGGCACCACGCCCTGCCCCTGCTTCTTTCATAGCACAGCAGACGCAACAAGCGGCTTCTCTAAGCAGCGCATCATCCGCCGCATCCACTGCTACGACGTCCCAGGCGCTTCAAACGTCCAGCGCATCACAGTTGACAGCAGCCACTTCCCAAACGTCTTCAGCAGTTTCCGTGAGTAATGAAGCCTTGCAGAGTGCAATCATTTCGAACATAGCGTCTTCGAGCGCACTAAATGCAATAAGTACAGGACAACTTTCTGTGCAAAATCTCATTTCAGTCGCGTCCCAAATCCTTACAAATTCCTTCGGTATTTCTCAAAGTTCGGCACAAAGCATTCTCAGCCAGGCTTTGTCTAATCATGGAAGAGGATCATCGACTGGAACACTCGCTGCAGCACTTGCATCAGCTTTCTCACAGCTTCTTGTACAATCAGGAGCCGTAACAGCTGGTCAGGAATACAGTATTGGACAAAGCGTTGGTTCCAACCTGTCGTCGGTTCTGCAACAGCTACAGTCCCAAATAACACGACCTGCTCCAGCTCCTGCACCGCGTCCTCTACCGGCACCACGCCCTGCCCCTGCTTCTTTCATAGCACAGCAGACGCAACAAGCGGCTTCTCTAAGCAGCGCATCATCCGCCGCATCCACTGCTACGACGTCCCAGGCGCTTCAAACGTCCAGCGCATCACAGTTTACAGCAGCCACTTCCCAAACGTCTTCAGCAGTTTTCCGTGAGTAATGAAGCCTTGCAGAGTGCAATCATTTCGAACATAGCGTCTTCGAGCGCACTAAATGCAATAAGTACAGGACAATTTCTGTGCAAAATCTCATTTCAGTAGCGTCCCAAATCCTTACAAATTCCTTCGGTATTTCTCAAAGTTCGGCACAAAGCATTCTCAGCCAGACTTTGTCTAATCATGGAAGAGGATCATCGACTGGAGCACTCGCTGCAGCACTTGCATCAGCTTTCTCACAGCTTCTTTGTACAATCAGGAGCCGTAACAGCTGGTCAGGAATACAGTATTGGACAAAGCGTTGGTTCCAACCTGTCGTCGGTTCTGCAACAGTTACAGTCCCAAATAACACGACCTGCTCCAGTCCTGCACCGCGTCCTCTACCGGCACCACGCCCTGCCCCCTGCTTCATTCATAGCACAGCAGACGCAACAAGCGGCTTCTCTAAGCAGTGCATCATCTGCTGCATCCACTGCTACGACGTCCCAGGCGCTTCAAACGTCCAGCGCATCACATTTACAGCAGCCACTTCCCAAACGTCTTCAGCAGTTTCCGTGAGTAATGAAGCTTTGCAGAGTGCAATCATTTCGAACATAGCGTCTTCGAGCGCACTAAATGCAATAAGTACAGGACAACTTTCTGTGCAAAATCTCATTTCAGTAGCGTCCCAAATCCTTACAAATTCCTTCGGTATTTCTCAAAGTTCGGCACAAAGCATTCTCAGCCAGGCTTTGTCTAATCATGGAAGAGATCATCGACTGGAACACTCGCTGCAGCACTTGCATCAGCTTTCTCACAGCTTCTTGTACACATCAGGAGCCGTAAACAGCTGTCGCTGTACAGTATTGGACAAAAGCGTTGTTCCAACCTGTCCAACCTGTCGTCGGTTCTGCACAGCTACAGTCCCAATCCCAATAACACGACCTGCTCCAGCTCCTGCACCGCTCGTCTCCCGGCACCGCGCCTGCTGTCCCTCCCTTCCCACGCCCTGCCCCTGCTTCTCTTCTTTAAGCCGTGCATCGACTCTCAAGCATCGCTGCTACCACGACCGTCCGCTTCACCGTCCGCTTCAAACCTCCAGTTTCACAGTTTCCCACTGCCACTTCTTCCAGCATTTTCCGTGAGTATTAAGCTTGCAGAGTGCAATCATTTCGAACATAGCGTCTTCGAGCGCACTAAATGCAATAATTCCGAACTTTCTGTCAAAATCTCATTTTCAGTCTCGCGTCCAACCTCTTCCTTACAAATTCCTTCTCATACCCCCATTTCTTCCCACCCCTCAAGTCCCATCGTCTACCCTTTAAGCATTTCCTTCCACCTTCTCACCAGGCTTTGTCTAATCATGGAAGAGGATCATCGACTGGAGCACTCGCTGCAGCACTTGCATCAGCTTTCTCACAGCTTCTTGTACAATCAGGAGCCGTAACAGCTGGTCAGGAATACAGTATTGGACAAAGCGTTGGTTCCAACCTGTCGTCGGTTCTGCAACAGCTACAGTCCCAAATAACACGACCTGCTCCAGCTCCTGCACCGCGTCCTCTACCGGCACCACGCCCTGCCCCTGCTTCTTTCATAGCACAGCAGACGCAACAAGCGGCTTCTCTAAGCAGCGCATCATCCGCCGCATCCACTGCTACGACGTCCCAGGCGCTTCAAACGTCCAGCGCATCACAGTTTACAGCAGCCACTTCCCAAACGTCTTCAGCAGTTTCCGTGAGTAATGAAGCCTTGCAGAGTGCAATCATTTCGAACATAGCGTCTTCGAGCGCACTAAATGCAATAAGTACAGGACAACTTTCTGTGCAAAATCTCATTTCAGTCGCGTCCCAAAATCCTTACAAATTCCTTCGGTATTTCTCAAAGTTCGGCACAAAGCATTCTCAGCCAGACTTTGTCTAATCATGGAAGAGGATCATCGACTGGAACACTCGCTGCAGCACTTGCATCAGCTTTCTCACAGCTTCTTGTACAATCAGGAGCCGTAACAGCTGGTCAGGAATACAGTATTGGACAAAGCGTTGGTTCCAACCTGTCGTCGGTTCTGCAACAGCTACAGTCCCAAATAACACGACCTGCTCCAGCTCCTGCACCGCGTCCTCTACCGGCACCACGCCCTGCCCCTGCTTCTTTCATAGCACAGCAGACGCAACAAGCGGCTTCTCTAAGCAGCGCATCATCCGCCGCATCCACTGCTACGACGTCCCAGGCGCTTCAAACGTCCAGCGCATCACAGTTTACAGCAGCCACTTCCCAAACGTCTTCAGCAGTTTCCGTGAGTAATGAAGCCTTGCAGAGTGCAATCATTTCGAACATAGCGTCTTCGAGCGCACTAAATGCAATAAGTACAGGACAAATTTCTGTGCAAAATCTCATTTCAGTAGCGTCCCAAATCCTTACAAATTCCTTCGGTATTTCTCAAAGTTCAGCACAAAGCATTCTCAGCCAGGCTTTGTCTAATCATGGAAGAGGATCATCGACTGGAGCACTCGCTGCAGCACTTGCATCAGCTTTCTCACAGCTTCTTGTACAATCAGGAGCCGTAACAGCTGGTCAGGAATACAGTATTGGACAAAGCGTTGGTTCCAACCTGTCGTCGGTTCTGCAACAGCTACAGTCCCAAATAACACGACCTGCTCCAGCTCCTGCACCGCGTCCTCTACCGGCACCACGCCCTGTCCCTGCTTCTTCATAGCACAGCAGACGCAACAAGCGGCTTCTCTAAGCAGCGCATCATCCGCCGCATCCACTGCTACGACGTCCCAGGCGCTTCAAACGTCCAGCGCATCACAGTTTACAGCAGCCACTTCCCAAACGTCTTCAGCAGTTTCCGTGAGTAATGAAGCCTTTGCAGAGTGCAATCATTTCGAACATAGCGTCTTTCGAGCGCACTAAATGCAATAAGTACAGGACAACTTTCTGTGCAAAATCTCATTTCAGTCGCGCCCAAATCCTTACAAATTCCTTCGGTATTCTCAAAGGCACACAAAGCATTCTCAGCCAGGCTTTGTCTAATCATGGAAGAGGATCACCGACTAAAGCACTCGCTGTAGCAACTGCATCAGCTATCTCACAGCTTCTTGTACAATCAGGAGCCGTAACAGCTGGTCAGGAATACAGTATTGGACAAAGCGTTGGTTCCAACATGTCGTCGGTTATGCAACAGCTACTGTCCCAAATAACACGACCTGCTCCAGCTCCTGCACCGCGTCCTCTACCGGCACCACGCCCTGCCCCTGCTTCTTTCATAGCACAGCAGACGCAAACAAGCGGCTTCTCTAAGCAGCGCATCATCCGCCGCATCCACTGCTACGACGTCCCAGGCGCTTCAAACGTCCAGCGCATCACAGTTTACAGCAGCCACTTCCCAAACGTCTCAGCAGTTTCCGTGAGTAATGAAGCCTTGCAGAGTGCAATCATTTCGAACATAGCGTCTTCGAGCGCACTAAATGCAATAAGTACAGGACAAAACTTTCTGTGCAAAATCTCATTTCAGTCGCGTCCCAAATCCTTACAAATTCCTTCGGTATTTCTCAAAGTTCGGCACAAAGCATTCTCAGCCAGACTTTGTCTAATCATGGAAGAGGATCATCGACTGGAGCACTCGCTGCAGCACTTGCATCAGCTTCTCACAGCTTCTTGTACAATCAGGAGCCGTAACAGCTGGTCAGGAATACAGTATTGGACAAAGCGTGGTTCCAACCTGTCGTCGGTTCTGCAACAGCTACAGTCCCAAATAACACGACCTGCTCCAGCTCCTGCACCGCGTCCTCTACCGGCACCACGCCCTGCCCTGCTTCTTTCATAGCACAGCAGACGCACAAGCGGCTTCTCTAAGCAGCATCATCCGCGCATCCACTGCTACGACGTCCCAGCGCTTCAAACGTCCAGCGCATCACAGTTTACAGCAGCCACTTCCCAAACGTCTTCAGCAGTTTCCGTGAGTAATGAAGCCTTGCAGAGTGCAATCATTTCGAACATAGGTCTTCGAGCGCACTAAATGCAATACGTACAGGACAACTTTCTGTGCAAATCTCATTTCAGTAGCGTCCCAAATCCTTACAAATTCCTTCGGTATTTCTCAAAGTTCGGCACAAAGCATTCTCAGCCAGGCTTTGTCTGATCATGGAAGAGGATCATCGACTGGAGCACTCGCTGCAGCACTTGCATCAGCTTTCTCACAGCTTCTTGTACAATCAGGAGCCGTAACAGCTGGTCAGGAATACAGTATTGGACAAAGCGTTGGTTCCAACCTGTCGTCGGTTCTGCAACAGCTACAGTCCGAAATAACACGACCTGCTCCAGCTCCTGCACCGCGTCCTCTACCAGCACCACGCCCTGCCCCCGCTTCTTTCATAGCACAGGAAGCGCAACATGCTTCTTCTTCAAGTAGCGGGACGTCCGCAGTTAGCATTACATCACCTTCGAATGTGAGGGAATCGTCGAGTGGTTCAGATTACAGTAGTTCCTTTGCCGGCTCTCAAATACCTATTTCTCCGGAATATTCATCAACCGGTTCTGCGGCGTTTCTAAGCGCTACTGGAATAAACACTCAGGAACTGTTATCTCCTGTAACGGATGCAAGGATTTCTTCTCTGAGTGGAGCACTTTCTTCAGCCTTCTCTGGTGGCAAAGTGGATTTCCAATTATTATCAAATGCTATTGCGAAGACTAGTGGAGAAATTCAGCATAGCTCAAATTTATCGGAAAGTGAAGTTATTGTAGAGGCGTTGCTTGAAACGATTGCAGCTCTTATCGAACTGCTTTCTCCCAGAGCCTCTGGTAGCTCTTCTGCACTTGCTTATAACCTTGTTCAGGTCTTTGGTTAGGTATATTCCAAGATGAAGTTAGTTTCAGTTTTACACTTGTATTTAACTGTAAGGTATTATGATGCGACTATGAATCATAAGTACTGTCTAAATAAATATGTATTTGCTTTAACATATTTCTTGTTCTTTGATTTAAATGGGTAAATGACTTCCGCGTCAGCTTGTTTTTATGTGCTGCATACTATTTTTTACGTATAATTTTATGTACAACATTAGTATATGGATAAGCATATGTTTACCCGAATTCCTTATTACCTTTCACTTTCCGGAAACAAACTAAAAACATTGATGAAAATAAGTTTGAAATGTATACCATTCATTGAAGTATTTTTATATTGATTTTGAATTAAAACCTGTAGCTTTAATGTGCGAATTAATGTGGCTTTATATGGTAGCATCAAATTCCTTGATTAAAATGCATTAATCCGATATAAGTAATTTATAACTTTTAAGTTTTTAAATGGATTCTCAACATAAAGTTATTGTATGTCAATTCTCATTGACATACAATATGGTTGAATGAACATTGAATGGTTGCCAAAACAATGACCAATTAAGGCAATATTGTACGGTGCGGAATATTACGTCCCACGTTTCAATGGATGTATTCAAACTTTAAATAATGCATTTATTTTAAATGTATATAAAAATAAACACAATATAATAATAACATTAAATCACATTAAAATATAGTACTTATATAAGGTCAACAGGTAAAATACATATTTTTGAAATGAGTTGTTTGTAAATTTCGAATTTAATTTTTGCCTTAATCACTCTGACATGTTTGTCTTCACCAAAAAGAAGCTTAATACATCCATTTATTGGCCATCTTTCAGGCGATAGATTTTTCATCCTTGAGAAGCATCCTAGCTCATTTATTTTCCCATTATCTTCTTCTACTATCCATTTGGACCTCTGCTGCAAATTATTAAGATACTGTATATGGCATTTCTTCTCAAAAAATGCTAATTATTTCTGCCGTCGTTTTTCAATTATACAATCGACTGTCTTAAACCTGAATTAAATTTGCCACTGCAATAATATTTATGGGTCTGACAATTAAGAACTGGCAGTGTTGAATACATCGCCATACATTAGTACATTAGTATCGGGCGATAGAGGTACAGGAGGTCTTGTATATAGGATTCCTTCTATTTGGGTAACGGCCTGTTAGGCATTTTTCATAACTCAATCTGGAACTGCCCCAAACTCTTTCAAGATGTTACTTAAACACCGTAACTCCACTTTACCAGATACCACTAAAATTCCAGTCAATTCCCTCAGTTGACACGTAACTAGCAAGTGAATCGTCTGGTTTTACAACTAAATTGCTTAATCTAGACATTTCCATTGGATCATATGAAATTTGTGGCATTGTTCTGTACGAGCATAAATAATTGTACAGCATAAATCTGTACAAGCCACAAATATCTTCAAATGCTCTATGAAAATGTTCTCTTCTGTTGTTAAATCGATGACAGTTTCGAGGTGAATGGCTTTTTTCACTAAGCATATAGAATGCATACATATATTTTATAATAAATTCCCTTTCTTTGATGCCTATACTTGGCAAGGAATGGGCCACAAAAATTCACACCTGAACAGTTGCATGGGAAGTCAAGCGTCACCCCCTCTTCCGGTAAACCACCCATTAATTGTTCAAATCCTATGGGTTTGACTCAAACACTTAATGTAATCGTGCAGGACTTTTGTATGCTTTTCTTGTGTGAACTGTAACCTGCGAATTTCTACATCTTGCCTGAATTAGCCGAAACGTTTCTCTAACTTAATGTAGAAAAGTAGTAGGGCCTAGATGAAAATATCGCTTATGATAGACTTCTATTATGAGATTAGTTAATTTACGAACTTCAGGCAGAATAACTGGGAATTAACGTTAAAACTTACATTAGCATGCTTTATTCTGTAGTTCCTTCTTAGTTCGCCCTCCTTGTCTAAAAAGGGGTTTAAACATTTTATCTTCCTTTTGTCAGTAACACTTGCTTTGTGACATAAACATTTTATCACCTCTATAAACTTTTTAACTTTGAACCTTCTTTATTAGGAAAATTTCCCCATTGTTGATTTCCTCCGTTGTCAAGGGCTCCAGTCTCTTTTCAGCTGGACTCTTCAGGTTATGGATAAATTTGAAAACATTGTAAGGATCTTAAGTTTTACTAACGTTTATTTTATTTTAAATCTTTACTATCACTTCTTATTTTCTACTTCCGGCCAGAATTATAAGCGTGAAGGAGTTTTATGCAAAGTTTGTCTGGCGAACGCCAAGTATTTAAGTGTGGCCTTTTTGCCAAGCAGAAGAGAGAGGAAGCAGTGAGTTCGAAGCAGGCCGCTTACCTTAGAAGTTACGCAGTTGCTACTTTGCCTTCCAGGCCAGAGGTTTTAATCCTCTTGATAAATTAAACGTATTGTAGTGTTCACAGTCTCTGTGCTACATACGCTTCCTGTTATTATAAGGCCAATCTTCCACGTTTCTAAAGTTAAATTAGAGTTTAGTTTTATTTTGATATCTTTTACGTTAGACCCCGAGTGGAGGGTCATTGTATTCCGAAGTACGGAAGTCATTGTATATAAAGAAAAAATAAAGGGTTTTGTATACCCTTCGTCTGTATCCTGTCTACTTACTACAATTAGTGAACATAGCTTTAGTAAGCTCTCTGTTCCGAGTCAGGTCCTTGTATGTTTCCCGAAGAAGGTTAGAAGAAACATTGAACCTGATAGTGGCGCCCGAACGAAGAATAACCATGGCCGAGTTTCAAGAAGAACCTGTGCTGCCTGCAGAAAAAGGCTCAGAATCCAGAAATGCCAGCTGCCGCCCTGGAAGGATTTGGGTTACATCGTCCAGACCATGCGCGCTTCGATGAAACCAGAAGCAACGTTTAATGGAAACTCACCGGTAACCAGTTTTTTGGAAAAATTGGATGACCACTTCATGCTCTACCCCGTGCACGAGTTTCAAAAAGTTACCTTAGCTACCAGCGCTTTGAGGGGCCAAGCGCTTAACTGGTTCAAATGTATCGGCAGAAGTCTCTTGGGTCAAGCAGGAAGTCCCACCTATACCTTACGAAAATTTCAAGACTGCCCTACTAAAAGCCTTCCCTGTTGTAAGGGATCGTGCGAAATTAGAAACAGGAACTTTTCAGTATATATCAACAAAGAATCGAAAACCTCTCGAGCTTTATTTTAAGAAAAAATTCACGTTTTCAAGCTCTTGTATGGAAACCGTCCGGATCCTGAAATAATTCAAGTGATTTTGCCGAGGTTACTACCCCAAGTGCAAGACTTTATTGAATTGAAGAAATCCGACTACACTGGAAAAATTATTTGAGCTAGCAATCCAGTTTGAAAGTAGAAGAACGGCGGACGTCGAAAGAAGACGCCAATATCAACAGCGAAACCAATTTGGTACGCCAAGACTACAGCAAACTCAAGCACATGGCTACGGAGAAAAAAGCGAATCAGTGGGCAAGGAAACCCGAGCATTCAAAAACAGCCGGCGAACGTCGACAGTTCAATAGCAACCCAGGAAAAAAAGTCTCAAGGCCAGTGGAGAAAGAAGGAAAGCACCGGAAAGGAAAAATAATTTAAACTAAAACGGATTTCTGCTGACGAGAGGGTGCGGAAATCCGAAGGCCACGAAAACCCCTCTTCCTACAAGTTAAATACAGTAATGGTGAAAAATTTGAACTCTTCCGAAGATTGAAGTCTTGGTAAATAATATCCCGGCCACCGCACTCCTGGATACCGGCGCGCAGTGTTCCTGTGTGGCAGAAGTCTTTTTTAGAAAGTATTTTCGCAAATACCGCATATATAATGCGGATAATACAACAGTATTAGCGGCGCAAGGAGAACAATGTAAGTGCGTAGGTAAAGTACCTTTGTACATCCGTATCAAGGACGAACAAGTAAAGGTGATGTTTTTTATAGTAAAGAATCTGCAAGCACATATTAATCTAGGAATAGACTTTCTTTCAGACGCACAAGCTACACTGGATTTTAATGAAGCGTCCCTTAAGCTGACGAATGAAACCAGTGCGTGTAGAAAAGGTTGAACCGCCAAGGTTAAATCTTGACCACCTGCCTAATGACGAGCAAGATAGAATCCGACAAGTGGTAAGTGAATTTGCTTCCTTATTTAGTGATATTCCAGGATTTACTCAGGTTACTAACCATAGTATTGACACCGGAGATGCATTGCCGGTTCGTCAAAAACCATACCGGTATGATAAGAATAAGGAAAAAAAAAAAAAATTATAGAATGGCATATTACCGATATGCTACGTAAAAAGATCATAACGCCCATCTCAAGTAGTTTATGCTAGCCCGGTGGTTTTATGTAAGAAAAATAATGATTATCCTTTGGAGCATCCAAAAAGGTGGAGATTCGCTATTGATTACCGTAAATTAAATTCCATAACGAAAATATCCGGTATATCCGTTACCGATTATAGAAGAAATTTTAAGGAACATAAAATCAACCAAATTTATGACGACTTTAGACTTAACGAATGGTTATTTTCAAATAGGGGTCAGGCCTGAGGACGTGCCTAAGACTGCTTTTATAACCAAGTCTGGCACTTATGCATTTTTGCGTATGCCGTTTGGCCTTTCAGGCGCCCCGCCCAGCAACATTTCAGCGATGCATGGACATTGTGTTAAGACCTGTTCTTGGAAAGTCCACATTTATCTATTTAGACGATATCATTATTACTAGTGATAATCTCGACCAACATGTACAGGATTTAAGACAGGTGTTTTCTTTATTAAATGAGGCCGGTCTAAAAGTTAATGTCGAAAAGTGCAAATTTGCAGCCCCTGAATTAAAATATTTAGGTTACAAAATATCGCAAAAAGGGATCGAGACAGATGAATCAAAAATAATCGCTGTACAAAAGTATCCGACTCCAAACACGGCAAAGAAGCTCTCTTCTTTTCTAGGACTTTGTTCATATTATAGGTCCTTTATAAAAGATTTTGCGGCTATCGCTGAGCCATTGTTAAAATTAAAAAGGAAAAAGGCAAGATTCTCGTGGACGGCCGAAGCCAATAGTGCTTTCGAAAAATTAAAACAAGCATTAACGCAAGCCCCTGTGTTG